ATACCAATGAACTGGGGATCTACATTTCCTTCCGTAAAGTGCTTCATACAGAGCCATGCCGATGGAAGCTTGATAACTGTTATTATACGAGAATTCGATCAATGGCAACTTCATACTCCATGCGCCCTTGAAATCCACAGCGCAAGCGCAAAGCATATCCTCTAGGGTCTGAATTGTTCTATCTGATTGTCCATCTGTCTGGAGATGAAACGCTGTGCTATAGCGTAATTCTGACCCCATCGCTTCCTAAACACTTCTCCAAAAATTGGAGGTAAATCGGCTGTCTCTGTCTGATACTATACTAACTGGTACTTCATGTAACTTTACTACCTTAGCCACGTATAACTCGGCTAATTTCTCTAAGGAGTACGTTATCTTGATCGGGATGAAATGCGCTGATTTCATTAACCGATCCACTATTACCCAAATGGCATCATATCCTTCACTCGTTCTCGGAAGTCCGGTCACAAAATCCATGGTTAAGTGTTCCCACTTCCATTCTGGGATCTCTAGTGGCTGTAAGCTTCCAGCTGGTATCTGATGTTCTGCTTTGACCTTCTGGCATGTCAAGCAATGACTAACATAGTCAACTATGTCGTTCTTCATTCGCCTCCACCAAAAATGTTGTTTCAAGTCTTGATACATCTTGGTGGCACCTGGGTGTACGGAATATGGCGTGCTGTGTGCTTCTGCTAAGATCTGCTTCTTGATCCCTTCTTGATCTAGTACATAAATTCTTCTTTGGTACAGGAGAATTCCATCTTCTAAAAGATTGAAGTTTGTCTTTGCATTTTCTACCATCTCCTTCCTGTATCTATCCATAATTGGATCACTCTTTTGAGCTTTTCGTATCTCATCTTGTAGCACGGGCTGCAGTCTCAGAGAAGCTAACTTACTGGAGATTAATTCAAGATCTAGAAGATTAATCTCTTGTCGAAGTTGCTTCGGCAACAATTCGGTCTCCACAGGAGTCCGCATTGCTAGATTTCTACTCAAAGCGTTTGCTACACGATTGACTTTACCTGGATGATAAAGGATTTCACAATCATAGTCCTTCACGAGTTCAAGCCATCGCCTCTACCTCATATTAAGCTCCTTCTGTGTGAAGAAGTACTTTAGACTCTGGTGGTCCGTATAAATTTGGCATTGAGCTCCATACAAATAATGCCGCCATAACTTGAGCGCAAAGACTACCGCGGCTAACTTGAGATCATGCGTTGGGTAATTACGCTCGTGATCCTTCAGTTGCCGAGATGCGTAAGCAATGAACTTGCCATTTTGCATCAACATGGCTCCTAGTCCTGTCTTTGAGGCATCACTGTAGATGTCAAATTTTTCTCCCTCTTCTGGAATCATGAGTACTGGAGCACTAGTTAATCTTCTTTTGATCTCCCTAAAACTCTGTTCACATTTATTTGTCCACTCATACTTCTTATCTTTCCTGGTTAATGCGGTGAGAGGGGCTGCAAGATGAGCAAATCCCTCTACAAACCTCCTGTAATACCCTGCCAATCCTAAGAAACTTCAAATTTCCGTAACACTCTTCAGAATTGGCCACTTCTCAACCACTTCAACCTTTGTTGGATCCACGGTGATTCCTTCCTTAGATATCACATGATCGAGGAATTGGACTTTATCTAACCAAAACTCACACTTAGAAAACTTCGCATACAGCTGATGTTTCCTTAACGTGTGCAACGTAATCCTCAAATGCTCTGCATGCTCTTATGGACCTCGAGAGTATATAAGGATGTCATCGATGAACACAATAACAAACTTATCCAAGTATGCTCTAAAAACTCTGTTCATAAGGTCCATAAACGCTGCTGGGGCATTTGTAAGTCCAAATGGCATTACTAGGAATTCGTAGTGTCCATACCGAGTTCTAAATGCCGTCCTAAAAATGACTTCTTCTCTAATCTTAAGTTGATGATACCCCGATCGAAGATTGATCTTCGAAAACGTGGTAGCTCCCTTCAACTGGTCGAACAAGTCATCAATTCGTGGCAGTGGATACTTGTTCTTGATGGTGACTTTGTTGAGCTCTCTATAGTCTATGCACATCCGAAGCGTGCTATCCTTCTTTTTAACAAAGACAACCAGAGCTCCCCATGGCGAGAAACTCGGTCTGATAAAGCCTTTATCTAGTAACTCCTGAAGTTGAATCCGTAGCTCTTTTAGTTCCGCTGGAGCCATCCTATACGGTGCTTTGGATATTGGTGCGGTGCCTGGGAGAAGCTCTATCTCAAAAGCGATTTCCCGATCTGGAGGAAGTCTAGGTAGTTCCTCTAGAAAGACGTCTAGGAACTCTTTTACTATAGGAACGTTTTTTGGCTGAAGCGTCCCTTCCTGGTTTCTATCCACCACATACGCCAAATATCTGGTGCATCCGCTGGACATCAATCGTCGGGCTTCTAGGGAACTAATAATGCGGTTGGGTGTCCCTGATGTGGAACCCATATACTTAAACATATGTTCTCATTCTGACTGAAAAACTACTTTTTTCCTTCTACAGTATATTGTAGCATTATACTTTCGTAGAAAATCCATTCCTAGGATCACATCATAATCTACTAAATCCAGTATAACTAGGTTTGCACTTAGTTCTCTTCCTACTATCTCTACTGGTACATGACGTAACCAGTGACTAGACAACAACACATCACCTGATGGTAGTGCTGTTTTAAAGTCTTGGCCTATCCTCTCTTAAGGATGTAGTATTCGTTTAACAAACTCTACTGATGCAAATGTATGTGTGGCTCCTGAATCAAAAAATGCTCGTGCAGGAACATGGGTAACAGTAAGCTGACCTGTCATTACATTGGACGTGCTTGCCTCAGCTTCCTCCTTGGTGTATGTCATTAGTTGAGCATTGGTTTGTGGAGAAGCTTCTAATATGTTCGGCTGAGGGTTCGGGAATACCCTCTGCGCTTGCATGGCATGAAATTGTGGAACTTATGGCCTTTGTGGTGCCGTTCTAGGAGATCTTGCTTTGAATGGACACTGCTTTGCATAATGCCCCTTCTATCCACACATTCGTGCCGGCTTTACATTCTCCAGAGTGTTTCCTGCCACACGTCTAGCAAACAGGAACACTGGGACTGGTATACTAAGCCTGCTTCTGTTGGAAATTTTGCTGACTCTGATTGTGATTTCCGCTGAAATTACTCTTTCTCTTATTAGAGTTTTGTTGGCTCCCCTGTCCAAGTTTTGATCCCTGGTCACTCCGGTTTCCCTGACTTTGCGGATTAGCATCGGGGCTCTGCTTAGTAGGTGTCTGTTCCTTCTCTCTTTGCTTCTTTTTATCATCCCACATTTTAGCCCGTTCCTCTCTAGATTTGGCAATATTATGCTCCGCACGTATTGCCTGGTTCAACAAATTGGCTACCGTGGTTGGTGGATACTCCCTACTTTCCACAACGGTGGCTATATCTCATCGGAGCATATTAACCATCCTCCTAACCTTTTCTTCCTCTGTTGGAACCAACTGAGGACATAATCGTGCTAACTGATCAAATCGTCGGCATGCCTTAACAACTGTCATGTCGCCCTGTTTAAAATTGTTGAACTCATTCTGCTGAGTCTTCAGGGCTTCTAAGTTGTAATACTTACGGTTAAATTCCCACAAGAATTCATCCCATAACATATGTCTGACATTCCTTCTGGCGGGCATCTTTCTTCAACATAAAGGCGGCGCATTGTATCTTTTCCCTGTCGGTGAGTTCCATAAACTCAAACACCGTCTGAATGGAAGTTAACCATTCATCAGCTTCTAGTGGATCCCTTGACCCATCAAACTCTGCAGGTGACATTTTCTTAAACCTCACATACAATGATTCCCTTAGGACAATTTCTCGGTGTTCCATCTCACCCCTTACTGGCTATTGGGGTTCAACCCTCTCTGGGGGTTGCTCAGGTTGAACGGCTGGTGCTGGCACCACCTGTGGAGGGGGTACTCCTTCAACCTGCTGACCCTGAATCAACTGGGTAAGCAACTCTCTTAACTGTCCGCTTTCTTCAGCTTGGGCTGCTATTTGCCCCTTAAGACCTGCTACTTCTACAGCTAGGTCTGGTGTTGGAGGATTCTGTTCTGCCTGTGTTCTATTTGAGTGTGTACGAACCATGTTGCCGTGTTTCTAACAATTAAAAGAGTAACATCGTTAGTCTAAGTGCAACAAGAACTGCTTCAAGAATTTCTTGACTAGCTATACTTTTAACTATCATTTATTCTCATAACAACTAGCAAAACATACATTCTATACATTCCTCTACTATGCATGTCCCATTTCATACATATCACATCATATATAAAACGTCACAAAAGTTAAGGCTTTTAAGCCCTTCAGTCAATTCTATTATGCATGTTCCATTTCATAAACTAATTTACTTGGACTGTGCAGAAGCATAGGTGCAAGATTGTCATGGCAGGAGTAGGAACGCCACTCTGATACCAACTGTGATGCCTCCCGCCCTAGCAGCGGGTCGCCAACCTTAAACTACTACTATTAGGCAGAGTTATAGACTAATCTATTACTTGTTATTAGACTATCGCCTCTTTAATTTACATTTCTGTACGAGTTTTTTTTTTCTTTAACCCTCAGGTTCTTAACATGTTCTTAGCATGTTCTTTTGTTATACAACAACTTATCCTTGCTAATACTTTAAGAAATCGGATATGGAACAGGTCCCCGAAATTTATCTTAACTTATTACAGTCTATTGTTCTTTACTAAGACAATGACCGTAACATCTTTTCCTTAAAACTCAAACATATAAACTTGATTCTATATTACATTACTCTGCAGTGGAATTTAATTTCTAAGCGAGCGTAGTAGAAACCATTCCCGTGTACCCATAACGTTTCCACCACCCTTGCCTCTGCCGGTCCATCAAGCAAAATCACTATATGGTTGGCTGCTTACCTTTGTTACCTGCACACGAGTAAACTGATGAGTTAACGCTCAGTAAGTATAAATATGCACACATCATAAACTAGAAAAGAATTACATTAAGAGTTATGATGCAAATAAGCTCATGTGAAACAGCTTTCTGTCTTTTTGTTCTTACTACTGTGGGCCTGGGCCCCTGCTTATTGTCTTGTTACCGTGGGCCTGGGCCCCTGTTTACTGTCATGTATAGTCGAAATCTCTACTATTTGAGATTTCCTCCCTTAGGAGGCCGACGACCCGTCAGTCTCTTTACATTACTGAACTTTGAGTTTTTTATTTCAAAGTGTTAAAAACTTTACTGAATGATATGCAACGTTTCTCTACGTGCATATGCTAACATAAAATGCATAATACTACTTGTAAACTTTAACTGTGCATAAGGGTAGTCATATGTCGCCCTTATGCAATCTAGGGCACTGAGCCCTCCAAACACGTATAATCACATATAATCACAGACTTAGGAACATAAGTAAATTCATAGTTCTAAGTTTAACTATAGCTTACTTGAGTCCAGACAAACATATATGTCTATACTTCCAAGTAATCCGCTAGGATTCCCGCTTGCTAGAAGTTCTTTCTCGTTGTCTCGGCTCTCGTGCCAAAACCTGTTTCATGGAAATAGGTATAAATTTCCTATACCAAATCACAATTCTTCATATTTAGATTCTTAAATCTAATTTCAAACTCGTTTCTGAACCCTTTTTCCCCTCTAAGCCGAATCCTAGTTTAAGAGGTAAATTACACATATTTGTGTATCTCGGTTTCTGAATCTTAATCTGTTCATTTCTGAGCTTTAAAACTGTTATTCATTCTCTAGAATCAATTACTAACTCATTGCTTACTAACTAACTTTTAGGAAATTTTGGCAGAGTTTCGCCTTATTTTTCTCGTTTCCCGAGTTTTCAATAACTCGTTCTACTTCTGATTTCGGTACCTGGAGTCAAGATTTACATTCCTAAACACAGATTCTAACATAAAATTGAACAAAACATATGTTCTTTCTTAATCTAGGCTCACGGATTTTCAATAGAAATCCACCAAAACTTCATTCAATCGTCTTAATACTTACACCGTTAAACTCTTATTACAATGCTTTATAAAACCTCAGTTTCATTTTTTACTTTAACGGAAGTTTTTCTGAGATGGGTTACTATTCATCCAAATCAAGAAAACATAGAATTCTCACGAAAACTCTGAAATCTTACCTCCAGAAGTTGAGGTTTTTTTGCTAGAACGCCTCAGATTACGTTTCTACCAGACTGAACGGAAGAAATCTCAATGAAAATGCTTGATTTTCCTTCCTCTGTCTCTCTCTAGCAACTCTCTTTTTTTTTCTTTCTTCGTAACTTCCTCACGTCTCTCTCTGTTTTTTTTTCCTCTACTATACTTCACGTGAAGTATGTAATAACCTTTTCTTTTATTTTTCCACGTGAGTCATCCGTCATGTCGTGAGTCATCCTTCACTTAAGCCTATGTAAAGACAAATGGTTTTTTTGCATGTGAGATTCCACCTCACGGTAACTATCCTTTTCACTTTTTTTTACACGTACTTAGATAATCTAATATATATATACTATAATTTAATATATATATATTATAACTTTGTTCAAACTACTTTTATTCTTTACTATATCCAAGATACGTGTTAGCAAATGAGTGAGTTCTATACTCTTTAAATTTTTCTTGTCGAGACCTAACTCTCTGTTTCTCAAAACGAGTCTCTTTCCGGTACTAATAATTTCACAATCAGTACAGGTTCTATACTAATTTTCTGGACTGTCGAGTACCCTGGGACAAACTTCTCATGTTCAACCCAATTCTCTTGGGTATCTCATTAGTTAATTTCTTTTTCTGAAATTTTCATTTTAATCGATTCAGAATTGTCCAAAACGCGTACCCTCGCGGTACTCATTTTTTTAGCAGTTTCACACTTTAACTGGCTCTGGAAAATTCTGTTTCAGGAACCTTTATTATTTTCCTTACTTCTAATATTTCTACTCTTTTTCTAACTGGTCATTTGGTCACATACCAAATATTTTAGTTTTTCATAACTAAAATATACCCGCTCAAATTTTTAACTTTTAACTAATATTTCACTATTCATAACTGATATTTACGAATTTTCTTTGTAAAAATATTTGTATTATAACTTTACATATTTCAGAAAATTTTACCCCGTACATAAAGTTTCTACGCAACATTTTCTTAATTACATCAAAATTCTACTACTTACTATTCCGAAAAGGATTTCGGTCAAATACCGGACTGTCCGGATTAGACCCAAATCTTTCTCGGTCATTACATTCACCCCTCCTTAGAAAATTTTCATCTCAAAAATTAGAACAAGTGGGGGTATTTCTGTCTAATTTCTTCTTCTACTTCCCAAGTGGCTTCTACAACACTATGATTTTTCCATTGCACTTTAACCATTGGGATACTACGACTTCTGAGTTTCTTCTCCTCTCTTGCCAGAATCTGAATTGGTTGCTCCTCGTAGGACAAATCTTCGTGAACCTAAATAGGTTCATACTGTAACACGTGCGATGGATCCGAGATATACTTCCAGAGCATTAGTACATGAAACACACTATGCACTGAAGCCAAATCTGGCGGTAGAGCTAG